ATTCACTGTGTCGACTCTGTGCTGTCAGAAAATTACAAGAATATTGTCACATGTAGTTCATCTTCCCCTTCTCTACACTGCCCTACAAAATTGCCTCGCCAGAGGGTAGAACTTTAAAGGCATTTTGCTGTCCAGCCACATAAATTGTATGCAGAATATTGAAAATGTGGCAATTCTTTGTTTTTTAAGTTATTTGGCTATAAAAAGATATTGAGGTCAAATTTGCTTGATGCCTTTGCATTGTATGCATAATAAGAAGGGGTCATGCCAAATTCCATTTGATCACTCACTTGGTTAACTGATCACAATATAAAATCAGTATATGATGATAATGATTATATCAAGTCATCATGGCACAAATAGGTTGTCAATTGTCAAGTGGTTAGCTTCAGTTAGCTAACAAGTAATTTTAGTAGACTGCCTATTTATCTCTATCTGGCAGCCTAATGTAGACTTTCTTACCTTATTGTTGGTATCTGCATTACAAAACTGAAGTTAAGGCCTTTTGACTTTGCACGGCAGTATGGTATCTGCTTCAAATGCACAACTAAACCTACAATTTCTAACATAATTGTGGTTAGCACCAATGTTAAAAGTGAATTAAGCAGCCCTTTAATGGATCGTGTCATATAAGACATCAGTGGGCACATTAAACACTCACAGGTGTATTATAGTGTCATTTGAAGTCACTTACAGCTGTGGAAAGTCCCTTGAAATAAATGAGCTCCTGAATAGCAACTGACTTGTAGCAGCTGCCTGTAACCCCTCCGGCTCACCCAGCCCCTCCGGAAAGTCCCCAGAGACGCTTTATTTACCTCTGTATACTGCCACACACACATACAATCACAACTCCCTACTCTCTGGACTAATAGTGCACAGAGAGACGGTGTTATTTATGCCCATATACTTCAGCTGGTTGCACCTGCTCAGATGGGTTTTGGTCAAAATAAAGTCATTTTGTAGACAGCCACAGCAAATACAGCTATTGGCATTGGCATGTGAGAGGCTGGAAATTATAAGGAAAAACAACAACAACCTCTGGCTCTCCCACTTTGCTCACTCCCACCCAGTGCTGGATCTAAATAAGAGCCTCTTTTCAGGAGCCGCTAGTCAACGCACACTTCAGGCAAGAAGAAGAACCTGTCTGATTCATTTTCGTGCCAATATTTCCTTTGGCTGTAACCAACTCCACCTGGTTATTAGCCCACTTGTGTCAAGTGGTCATCCTAATTGAGAAGAAAGATGTTAACACAAAGGCCCTTGAGCCAAAGCAGTATTTAAGATAGGTGAGATTTAAGTGTAAATGAAATGTGGATCATTAACTCAGACTGTTTCATACTTTCCCATCCCATTCTTTCTTTCTGATCCCTTGCTCTTCTTCCTGAGTAAAATTAATCTGACTGTCAGTACTGCGGTGGTCCCCTCAACCTCTGGCCCCACTTTCTCCTTCTTCTCTCTTAGACATCCACTACCTTTCCTCAAGAAAACCTGCTCACAGCATTCTCCCCTTTCTGAAAATATTTTTCCACTGCCCCGTCCAAACCATGAGGGCCTTTCTTTGGACACACACACAGAGCACGGTTTGCCGCTCATTCACTCTCGCTCTTTGCGTTTCAGTTTTCTCACCAGCTGGGTGAAAAAAGCTTACATTTTTTTTTAAAAGAGGCGATACAGGAAAATCTCTGCTCGCCCAACAAAAAGGATTAGGAGTTGGGTTTCTGGGATTGTCAGATTTGACGATTTCCATTTCTGCCACTCCACTCTCTTTGCTTTTAATATCCTCTTGATGGACTGGGAAGCCAGCGAACTTCAATGATTATATTTTCTGTACATGCAGGGAGAAGTCCTGGACAGGATAAATCAGACACAGCTATGCAATCCCAAGCCTGGTGGTCTGAAGGGTAACACTGGGCATGCTAGAGCTAACTGATGTACTAGACAGACAGATAAATATAATACAAAAATATAATTGGTGGAAATTAGATATCCTGATAAGGAAGGAAAGCTGCAATAGTGGGGAAGCAAAGAATCAGAAGGGTAAGAGATGTTGGTGTATCTGAAACATCAGATTCCCAGCTCAACGTCAAATCATATTTTAATCCAATAAATTCAGCCTGTGTGTTATTCTAAATATAACACACCTGTAAACACACACAATCAAAGCAAATAATGTCAAAGTAAACAACAGTGTGCACAGATTGCTTGAGGCGATTTACTTCCTTAAATTGGTTTGACGATGGAAAGAAAGGCCCCTGTAGCTGATTCCTGTGCAGGAGACAAGAGGAGGAGGAGAGGAAGTAACCTCTCCGCTGCGTTAGCCCTGACGTTGGAGGACGCATCTGCAATGCGAGGTCACGCCTGGACGGCAGCAGGGATTTACAGGTCCTTCAAGTAGAACCAACCCCTGCCGCCCTGTCCCCCTCCCTTCCAAAAAACCTCCACCCACCACCCACCTCCACCTCCAATCCC